ATGGAGAGCCCGAGAAGTCGAGAGGAAAAGTCACATTATCCAGAGCCTTGCAGGTTGGGCGGGAAACAGGCACAGCGTATAAGAGCAGACAAAACAAAAACTGACAGCAGTGCCAGCCATGGCGATGGCCGTGGCGATCAAGAAGAGTGGGAGGTTTAAGAAAGATTCAGAGAATACAAAGTCAACACCGTGTGCTAATGAACTGGATACGGGTGGATAAGGGAGAGGCAGTGGTTAAGATGCTATTAGGTTTTCTGACTTTGGGCAAATAGAAGATGTCATTCACCAAGGCTGGGAACACTCAAAAGAGGCTCTGTTTGGGAAGAGACGGGCAGATGAGGGTGTGGTGTGATTATCATGAGTCCTGCCACAAATAAGTTGAGTTTGAGATGCCTTTAAGAGATCCAAGTGGAGATATTAGGGAAATGCAAATCAAAACCAAAATGAGATACAACTCACATCTGTTAGAATGGCTGTCATCAACAAGACAAGTAATAACAAGTGTTGGAGAGGCTGTGGAGAAAAAGGAATCCTCACGCGCTGCTGGTGGGAATGTAAATTGGTGCAGCCACTATGGAAAACAGTATGGAGGTTCCTCAAAATAATTAAGAATAGAATTACCATACAATCCAGCAATCCCTCTTCTGGGTATCCACCCCAAAAATCTAAAAACATTTATCCATAAAGATATATGTACCCCGATGTTCACTGCAGCATTATTCACAATGGCCAAGACATGGAAACAACCAAAGTGTCCTTTGATAGATGATTGGATAAAGAAGATATGGTAAATATATACAATGGAATATTACTCGGCCATAAGAAAAGATGAAATATTGCCATTTGCAACAACATAGATGGACCTTAAGATTACAATGCTAAGCGAACTACAACAGGCAGAAAAAATCAAGATCCATATGACTTCACGCATATGTGAGATATAAAACTGAAACCAATAGATGAACAATACATACAAACAAACAAAAACTCAGACACAGACAAGTTTAGTGGTTACCAGGGGATAAGGGGGGAAGAGGGTGGGAGAGGAGGGTAAAGGGGGTCAAATATGTGGTGATGGAAGGAGAACTGACTCTGGGTGGTGAGCACACAATGTGGTATATAGATGATGTATTATAGAGTTGTACACTAGAAACCTATATAATTTCATCTACCAATGTCACCCAATTAATTTAATTAAAAAAAGAGATCTAAGTGGAAATGTCGATAAGGCAATTGGATACGTGGGCATGAAGCTCAAAGGAATATCTAGGCCAGAAAAAGGTGTAAGATAGGACGCTGAGGGCTACAAAATGATATGGGCTGGCCAGTGCGGTGAAAAGGGTCTTGGAGTTTTCATATTTCCTTAACTCAGTACCTAATATTTGTGTTCTCAACCTACAGACTGCCTCTAGCTCTTAGAGCTGGAATTATCATTCACACTTGAACTGGATATATGTTTTCAAGATATCCCAAGTTTGCACTCTTAATATATTTTTCAAAGAAACATGATATTTTGGTTACTGAACTTATATTTCATATTTGCCAGGTGGGAAACATGTGTGTGTGTGTGTGTGTGTGTGTGTGTGTGTGTGTGTGTGTGTGTAGGGGGCGGGGGGGCTGACAGCTAACCATGATTAATTCAAGATTCCTTCTGAGTTCCAATAATCCCCTAACATATGAAGTTTAGGGCTATAAAAGGAATATAATCTATCTATAAGCTTCAGATTGCCTTATTGTTATTTCTGAAACAGTATAATGTTAAAAATGCAACAAATCAAAGCACTCATGCATTTAAAAAATATTAACAATTGCTCAGTTCAACAACTTAATAAGGATAACTTCATGAGCCTGTGTTTCCTATTCTATGAATATACATACTAGGTAGAAATTTTGTGCAGATTGGTAATTTATTAACATTCTAATACAGTATTTAGAACACAGTAAATGCTATTAAGAATATTTTAAAATAAAAAAAAGAATATTTTAAAATAAAATAGCATCCATTTTGTATTTTCAGAGTAAATATGCATATAGCTCTCCATCATGAAGAAGTATACAAAATTAAATGTAAGCACTGCCAAGTTATTTATTCTCTGTCTACATATTTGTCTGTTTTGGATGTTTTCTTCTCTTGGACAGCACCAGGTAGTCAAAGAACGTTAATAACTCTGTGCTGCCCTCTCGTGGTAGAAACAAAATATAGTCCATTACATGGTTTTGCTTTTCAATTCTCTTTCAAATAATGAAATGCAAAGAAAACAAGAGAAAGTACATATTATGGGACTAATTCCTTAGTCTGTTATCACTTATAGCTGATGAAGAGTCACTCAGCACCAGTGCTATCAACTAAATACTTTAATTACAAGTGTTTTTCATGGGAACATAAAAGCACAAATTGATACTTGTCTAAAAGCAAATTCTTATCACTTGTTAGGTACAGTGATCTATTACTCCATTATATCAAGTGTTGTAGTCTAAGAAATACCTTAGTTATACTGACCACACAGAAAGAGAGAGAGACAGAGAGAGAGAGAGAGAGAGAGAGAGAGAGAGAGAGAGAGAGAACTCATCTTCAAAACTAAAATAATACTAAACATTTCAATTCTCACAAGAAAAATTTCATTTTTTGTTTGTTTGAATTTGTTTAAACATAGCACTTACATATGTTCTTATTTGGTTAATAATTTAAACACAATAGCCTAAAATCTATATCATTATAATATCCTAAACTTACTGTATTAATACTTACAACTCATGTATTTGGAAGACACCTTATTATCTCGACAAGCCTGAAACAATTAAATTCATTTCTATTTTTTTGAAAGCTACTAGTGAAACTGATTTTTTTTCCTAATAAAGAAAAATACCTCAGTTGAACAGATAAACTGCTTGCTAAACAAAGAGTTTGGAGCAGGAATTAGGGGTAAGAGGAGGACTATTTATTCAACCAAAACAACTAGAACAATAAGAAAACAATAATATGAACAAACCTAATAAGAGAATCCTTTCTTATACTACACAGCTTAATATTAATAGAATATTTCATTAAATTCTTTATATCCTATATATTTCCAAAAAGTACTGGAGGCAATTTTCAATAAAAGACACATATAATTACATTAGCAAAACAAAAATAGCAAATGAGAATGCAAACATAACAAACAGTTTGCAAACTAAGCTGCTGGTACTACGCTTCAAGTTTGGGTCTGAGCTTCCTAGTAACCAGAGCAAAAAGGAACTCATGATTTACGTATTTCTTATATTGAAAAGTAAAATGCTCATGGAACTCAACACCAAAAAAACAAACAACCCAATTAAAAAATGGGCAGAGGATATGAAGAGACATTTCTCCAAAGAGGACATAC